TTAACAGTAAAAAAATAAATAAATGTAAAAAAAACATTAAATAAAAGTATTAAAAAATGATATTCGCAATGAGATATATGTATTTAAAAAATATTAACATAACAAAATAATTGTGATAAATATCAAAATAATAAAATTAAAATCCTACCAAAATAATTAAAAAAAAAAACATCCTCAAAAACAAATATTAAAAACTTGTTAAAAAATGTGAAAAATTCAAAATAATGAAACGTTGAATATCAAAATAAATAAAACTAAAAAATAAAATAAAAGTGAAAAACAAATAGATAAAATTAAAAAAAATATTAAATAAAAATATTTAAAAATGGTATTCGCAATGAGATATATGTATAAATAAAAAAAAGTAAAAAACAAATAGATAAATGTAAAAAAAACATTAAATAAAAATATTTAAAAATATTCAAAAATAAGATGTATTTAAAAAATATTGCTAAAAGACATAAATTATGAAAATTTAAAATTTACTAAAAAATAACCGAAATTATAAGTATTTTTTTTATTGTAAATTTGAGATTAAAATTCTGTTTATTTTTTGTTTTTAATTATTTACCAAAAAATAATTTCGCAAAAAACTGCATTTATATGGCACATTCATAAGCATTATCTCTCTTTAATATGGGCATTAAAAACAAATTAAAATGTATTTGAGGAGCCAATTAAAGTCAATTGACGCTTTTGAAATATTTACGTAAAACTTTTGTGATAAGAACTTGACAGTAAAGTCAAATGAAGAAGGCATAATACAAACAAAAATATTGAAATTTGCGAAAAAATATATAGAAATATATTTGTATGTATTAATGTTTAATTTATAGCTATTTTTTAGACAAAATAGTTTCATAGATTATAATTATTAAACCAAAACGGCGCATTCAGATAGTTTTCTAAAGAATGCTATGCAAAAATATTTGTGGTATATACCAGTACATATACATATGTATGCAGTTAGAGAGTGTCTCGATAAGAAATTTAAAATTTGATTATGTAAAAAATTCAAAAAATTTAAAAAATGTGTTGTTATAGTTTAAAGAATTTAAAATTTTTGTATTTTTTTTTTTTTTTTTTAATCAAATTTATTGTTAAAATTGTATTGCTATGAAACCCGATCTCAAATATTTAAAACATTCAGAATTCGATGTACAAACGGCATATTTTTTATTATGTACAAACGGTATAATATTTTTTATTAGAAGCAAAAAATATAAAAAAATTAAAAACTACATTAAAATATTAAAAAAAAATAAAAAATTAATGCTTAAAAAGGGAATATAAACATTCCATAGTTTTAGAAAATAAATTATATGTCAAAATATATACATATAAATATGTATATGGACATATGTATATTTAGAAATAATGTAGAACCAATTGTATTAATATAAGAAATCTTACTAATGGCCAAAAATAAAAAACAATTCTTGGAAAAACATGTTTACTAACCT